ACTCTCCTTCCTCCCATTCACGACGTTGGCTGTTTTATCAATTTCTACACACTCCCTAATCTTACGCTTTGATGTAAAGTTTCCGTAACTCGTAAAATGTTCTGGTTTGGATCGGTCTTTTGAGTGTCTTGTATTCGCAAAATGAATTCAGCGAGCTCACATTTTTAGACCTACAGACCTTTACACTCGTGTGTGTGTGTGTGTGGATGTATGAGCGCTTGCTTGTGTGTGTGGGTTTGTGTTTGCGTGTTTTGCTTTGTGTCTGTGTCTGTGATGACGTGTTTGTATGTGTTGGGTCAAAGTCAATAGCTGCGCTGAATGTGGCCACAGCCCTCTGACGAGGCTGGTCAACCGAAAGCCGATGCCAGTTTTGGTACATTTCGAGTCGTTAAGGGTGCTCGTCAATTGGTTGGTCAGTTTGTGCTTACGTCCGGGAGCTGTAGTCTGGTTGACACCGTCGCTGAACGGTCCTTGTCCTCCGCCCATGCCCTCTGTGTTGGGCTGCGTTACAGCAGCCACGGTGATCGTATAGTCGGTTCTCGGCTCCAAGTTGTACACGGTTGTTGGGTTGTCGGCTTGTCCGATACTCAGCCTGATCACAGTCGATCCAGTCAGCGTGTTGACGACCTTGACGATGTAGCCTTCGAGAAATCCGTTCGAGACGGTTGGTCGTTGCCATCCGACGGTGACCTCGCTGAAGCTGTAGCCGGCCACCCTCAGTTGGAGCGGAGCCGAGGGGGCTAAAGCAGAATTGGAAGCAGATCAGATTAGACCTTCCTCGAAGAAGGGTTTACCTGCAACACACGATTTTATTAAGAACTTTAGTCGCCCTAAATCGCTTAAGCTGATAAGAAATTTTCCCACCATCGAAGGAATAGGTCGCATGCTTCTAGCGACTTGCAGATGGTATTATCCTTCCGAATGGACTCGACTGGGTCCATCAGCAGGACTCGAATCCGAACTTGGATGAGGCTACCGTTTCAGAAAGCAAGGCCAAATGAAATTAACTGACATTACCAGACCCAGTCATTTGGAAGTGGAAAAATTTACGATCATCCTTTCGTCACTTTAAGCGACTTTGGCTAACCAAACCTGATAGTCTCGAAGGGCTACTCAACTCGACTGCGCGATCTGATTGGTCCTTGCATGAACACTAGAATGCATGTGGGAGTGTGCGATTGAACAGCCTCAAGATGGTATCGGCCAGAGCTGGTATGGGGGAGACATCCAACTACCAAAGATACGCAGAGTTAAAGTATACTCTCGAAGGTTTGTGGACAACTTCGCCA